GTATGGGTCTTGGGGGAGTATAATCCAGGGGTGGCCACAGTCCAGCTGATTGGCAGGTGACTCACCTGCTTGTCCACTGGTGAGGGCTACAGCAGAGCAGTGGGATGACTCTGGAGTTGGGGGCAGGGCCCAGCAGTGGCACTGAAATGGGAGGGGGCTGACCACAGGACAGGAGGGTCACCCACAGGTTGTAGCTGTTGTGGTCTGCACCTCAGTGGCAGAAGTCCTCTGGTGTTAGGAGCAAGTCCCATCAGCAGCAGGACCAGGGACTAGTTGGGATGGTGTGGGTTAGGGGAGGAATGGGGGAGGGGGGCAGAATCTAGGGAGAGATACAGTTCCACTGGCAGATGGGTCAATCACCCATTCTGACTCATGTGGTCTTAGCCTGCTTGGCAGAAGTCTTCTGTGGTTAGCGGGAGGGCCCAGCAGAGCAGCTTTGATCTTTTAAAAGACTTGTACCATTTCTATTGTTCTCTCTCTCTGCCCCCTACTTGTGAATCAAGATGTGAACGTTAAGCTATTCCTGCTTTCATGGCTTTGCTCCACCATTGTAGACTCTAATGCTCTGAAACTGTAAGCTGAATTGCTTGTTTTCTTTTTTTCTTTTCTTTGTTGCTTTTGTTTTGTTGTTTTGTTAGAGCAGTAGCTAAGTTATTGGGTTGTTGGAGGTCCTCATAGAAATAATATTGTTTTCTTTTTTTTCTTCTTCTCCTTTTTTTTTTTTTTTGGCCACGCATGATGTCACATGCCTATAACACAATACTCAGGAGACTAAGACAGAAAAACACTGAGGTCAAGACCAACATGAGTTACACAGTGAAACACTCTATCATTCAACCAATGAGAATTTTCATTTCTACCACCCATTGAAGGAATTATCATATGGATTGCTGCTGGATTATGGCTTCCATGCCTCTTTTTCCTCAATATGGATGACAAAATAAAGTAACAAGAAATCTGAGCAGATAATATTTATAACTATATAATATATATGCACATATATGTCTACATCACTTTATATATTTATATATAAATATAGGTGTGTAAATGGATTTGTGTGTGTACACGTGTAAGAGGTATGCATGTCAGAAATGTGTCCTTTTACTGAACAATTCTGTCTCCCTTTGTTTTATCCCTTTGGTTTGCTTTTTCTTTTCTTTTTTTCCCACCTTATCCTGGAGGCTGCCTCTTCATCTCTTCATTATGCACTCAACTGTTTATATGAAAAAAGATAATCATTTTCCTACTGAGAGTTAGTCACCATATTCTGGATGCTCCAGGACCCCACTACTCTAGCATAAGTATTGTTCCTCAGTTTCTGAGTGCTCTAACACACCTTGGCTTGCCGGAACACTTGGATATAATTGTTACTTCACTCATTTCCAGTTAAAGATCTGAGACTCAGTCAGATCCCATTCATGGCTTAAGATCTGACAGCAGGGAAAGGATATAGCTAAGACAGTTCAAAACCCTGTGATTCCTCAGTTCTGAATCCTAAACTTTCCATTTCCCAACTGGTGAATCCTACCCTACATGCATATTATAACTACCTGGGATTTTAGAAAATGATAGGCTCCACTTTAGAACACTGAAAGCGGCATCTCTGGAAACAAAACATTTAAGAGTTCCTACTAATACTGAGGTGGTCTGCTCAAACACTGGTTCCAGCATGCCAAGCTACTACCCAGAGGTATGGAGTATAATTCTACAGAGGCACAAGCTGAACTCCTGGCTTTTCTGCATCATAGACTCCACAGTGCCCTGGAACCCTGACCTGCTATCTTCTCCATGTTATCTTCAGACCCAGACTTCCGTGTCAGATGAACATTGCCAGTCCAAGCTGACCCACATTTATACTTTTCTTAAAATCTTCTTTTTCCTCTTTACAGGTACAAAGAAGCGTTCTCATGACTCACCCGCTCCAAGCACTAGTTCCACAAGTCGACTTACCTTGCCAGGTAGGTCAATGGCATTGCCCTATTATCTCAATGACCACAGACAACAGAAAGAACTAGTGTTTCAAGAGTTAGGAACAGCAGCTGTAGTAGGCCTCTGTCCAAGTCCACTATTTCAGGGAGCTTTGTGTCTGTTGCCTTCACTTGTGACTTTGTTCCAGATATGACCATATTGTTTTCTAGCAATGGACCTGTGCTCTTTCTTGGGTAGCCTGTGAAGTATCCACTTCTGAGAGGCAGGTAGTGCAGGAAAAATGAATGGTCAGAGAGAGACAGATAGATGATAGATAGATAGATGGATGGATGGATGGATGGATGATGGATGGATAGATAGATAGATAGATAGATAGATAGATAGATAGATAGACAGACAGACAGACTTGGATTCAAACCCCAGGCTTGTCATGTTAACTTTGCAACCTCATCTATGCTCCTTTATCTTGGATTAGAAATGACACTTTTAACCCTAGTACCCTCTGTCATAGTGTCATAACTAACAGCAGGCATAGTTAAGGTCCACTCTTGTAAATATGGAAATGTATGTGAGCCAGATCCCTTCTAGCATCTCCTAGGTAAATATTCACCCATGATGATCAGCTGGAAGGGAAGTAACCATCAGTGCAAGGGAAGACAAACATCTGCTAGTCTCACCAAGTCCATGCATAGCCTTACATTCCTATTACAATTTTAACCACAGTGGGACTTATTTTGAGGAAGAGATGTTATAAAAGGTAAACATGGTCAGTGTGAACTCTTTTGTAATGATAAGAAAGACTCCAGGAACAAAAAAATTCTGTTTATTACTAATGTTACCCATTACCCAATAACTAAGATCCCCTCTTCTCCTAGGTCTTAATACGCATCTTTTCTTGAATTCAATTTTTATCTTATATAGAATTTTGTTTTTTCTCTTTTGAAATTTACTGTTATATTAAAGGGCTTTTCTACATGTTAGTAAATTAAACAATATCTTGGCATTTAGCTAATATGTCTATGATTATGTCAGTTTACTTACATGTTTAATGACAACTTTACATTTGTGCAGTTTGCATGTTATTATCATAATCATGTTACATTATTGTCCATAAATATTTGGTTTCTAAGTATGGAGTAAGTGAGATTGCTGGGATAGAAATTCTTAGTTAAGAATATATAGATATTTAGGTTCTTGTCAAGATATACTTTGGTGATATTGATTTTTATTTCTTATTATAATTAATTCACTAATGTGTACATTTCACTATTTTTATCAATATGCTAAATATTATATTTTATAGTTTACCATTTTGATGAGAAAATTGACATTTCATCCACATTTTATTTGTTTTCATCATCTTACAAATACCTGTTTACTAATATGAACTTATCTTTTAGATTTCTGCTTTGGGGAATTACTATATTTCATCCATTATGAGAAGCATCTTGTCTTGTATTTTAATCCCTCTGAAATCAGGCTTTTTTAAGAAAAATTATTATTCCTTTGCACTAAGTTTCTACATTTTCCTGCTCAATACCCCTAATTTCAGTCATCTTTCCCAGTACTCTCTCCCTCCACTTCCACCCCCTGCCTAGCCTGATCCAGTTTGTAATCCATGGTGTGTAAATATTAAATTAACATTTTTCTTGCTTGTAGGTGCAATATTCCCTCACTTCACAATTAGTGGTATGCTAGACAGATGAAACATAATCAACATTGACTTGCTATTCCTGTTTATGTTCTATTGATTCAGTCATTGTCTGCTAAGAAGCCTTAAATTTTCTTGCTTCTGTGACTGCATGAAACTAATTTTCCTTGGTGCATTTCTCTTTGCAGCTCTCTCTAAACCATCCAGTTAGAATTAATACTGCATTGTAATGAGTCTTTCTATGTCCTGCCAGCCAGTTCCCAAGTAACAACATGGAGACTTATAATTAAATATGAAAGCTCAGCCTATAGCTTAGGCTTGTTCTTAACTAGCTATTATATCTTAATAAATCCATATTTTTAATCTACATTCTACCACTTGGCTTTTTACGTTTTTTTTCATTCTGTGCCCCTGACTTGTTCTGCATCTCACTGGCATTTTTTCCTCTACATGTCAGCTCCTCTCTTTACCCAGAAGTTCTGCCTATTTTCTCAGCCTAGCTATTGGGCATTTAGCTCTTTCTTAAATCAATCACAGTAATGTATCTTTATGTAGCATAATCAAATGTCTCACAACATTTTCCCCTTTTTGTCTAAGTAAAAAGAAAGGTTTTTAATTCTGACATAGTAAAACTATATACAATAAGAACAATTATCAGGCAAGAATTACATTTAAAATGTCCAGTTTACCTGTATTTAGCAAATTTAGAGAAAATATTTCATTATCTATCTTATTTTGGTGAATTAAAAGTTTTATACCTAATTTACTTTCTATCCTAACTTCTATTGCCAATCTAAAGCTATCTTTTTAGACCTCAAAACATTTTCTTAGATAACAACTTAAGCTTTTATGTCTCTCAACCCTGTATATTTTACATTTCCTTTGTGATGGTAGCCTTGTATTTCATCTGAGTTTGTCAGTCTAAACTTGGTCCAGAGTCTTAACTTCTAAGTTCTGATCCATATCCAAAGCCTATTGAGTAGAGTAGGCGCTTCTCAAAATGCATGACACAATCACCGGCACTCTGTCCAGCAGATGTCAGCTCTCTCTGGCCCCTTCCTGCCTCAGGAACTGTACATGTTTCCTCCTTCTGACTTAGATAGCTTTATGGGTCAGTACTCAGATATGTCTTGTGCCATCTCAAGTTCCACTTTATAGGAGCTTTCCATGGTATCACAGCTGTATTATAGAAAATTATTAACCAGCAAACAGTAGCTTTAAAAAATCACTGATCATGTAGTTAGTTGAATGAACCTAGCTGAAGATTTTAAGATTTAGGCATTAATACTATTTTCATGGCTAGATTCAGCATGATCACATCAATCAGCTGCAGGCTATTTGATTCAGTCATTAAGCAAGGAAACTCTCTTTGTAAATTCTGACCAGGATGACCTGAGATATTAACAGATACTCCTCTGCTCCAAACACATGCAGAGGTGAACAAAATAGAAAAATGAATTACAGTCTTTAGAGGCAGTGTAAGAGACCAACAGCTCTGGGAACCAGAAACAAAAGAGAATTATACAAGGTACTTGATATCACAGGACTGATGCCGTGGGACAGCTTGCTTCACAGCACAAGCAGGCACTCTCAGGAAGGTACAGAATGGACTAAGACTCTTCTGGGATGCAGGCTTCCAGAGAGGGACCGAGTCAGAATACAAGACAGGGGTCAAAAAGGGTAGAGCCCCTGATGCTGGCCTTCGTTTGGAACTCCAGTCTGAACTACTGACCTGGAGCAATGGGCAGACAGCCATGTGCCTTCTTACCAGCCAGGGCCAACACTGGAAGTGAATCTCCAGCTCTTTCAATATGACTGTGGGGCTTTAGAAACAAGTATTGTCATAAGCCATGCTCTGACAGAATTGTTTAAAGGATCAAAGAGAAATAACTATAGACTCTAGATCTGACACAGAGCTGCCCTCGGGGCAGGAAAAATGGAAGGAAGCACGAAACGCACAAATTCCAGAGATAACAGAAGACGTTATGAGTAAATTGGGCCTCATCAAAATAACAGACTTTTGGGCATCCAGCAACACTACCAACTGTGTGAAAAGGCAAATCAGAGAGTGGGAGAAAATACTGGCAACTAATATGTTTGATTAGGGGTTAATTTCTATAATGTATAATGAACTTCAGAAGTTCATTTTGGGAAATTTTTACAATTTCTTAAAAAGTTAAATGTAATGTATCCAAGTGTCCTGGTGCATGAGAGTTGGCACCTGTTGGATAGAAAAAGGGGGCAGGGGATGGGGACAAGTGTTAGACTGCAGCCCAGACTCCGTAGTAAGTTCCAGGCCAGCTTAGGCTACATAGAGAAACATTGTCTCAAAACCCAAACCAAAACAAAGCGAGAGTTAAACCTTCTACATAATCAAATGACCCAGGAATTCTAGACTCATATTCAATATTCATTTTCATAGAAAACCTTGTTCCCATGTGTTCATAGTAACATTTGGCATAATAGTCCAAATGTGAAAATGACCTACATTTCCAAAAACTGAAAAATATATTAACAAAATGTCACATCCATTCCAAATGAATGAAGTACTGATAAAATCTGAAGATCAATGAGAACGTTTTACTCAGTAGAAGAAGCCAGAGACAATAAGCCATGTGTCAATGATTCTGTCTGTGTAAAATATTCCGAGAGACTTGAAGTGGGTAGTGGTATCAGAGGCTGATGAGTGAGGAGCATGGGGTGACTTTTCAAGGGCATGGGTTTTTGTTTTTGTTTTTGTTTTTTGTTTGATGTGATTAAACTCTCACAAATTAGATGATGATAGTGATTGCATAAATGGCCATATAAAAAAACCACAAGAGGCATATATCAATAGGGTGAATTCTATGGTAAGCTATTTACCATTTGATTAAAAAAAATGGAAGCATGGAAGATAGAAGGACTGCACACACCTCAGGACAGACACGTTGATGGGAAACAACATTCAACAGCCCTTAATTGTCATACCTGGAGGAAAAAAAGAGCAAGCAAACAAAACAAAACAACCCAAATCTATGCTTAAAGACTTTGTAGGAGAGTTTCCAAAATGACCTCAAGGACAAGAAAAATCTTAAATCAGCAGTTCTCAACCTATGGGTCACTCCCCCTTTGGGGGATCGAATGACCCTTTCACATGGATTGCACATCAGATATCCAGCATATCAGATATTTGTTACAATTTCTAACTGTAACAAAATTACAGTTATGAAGAAACAATGAAATAATTTGATGGTTGGTGGTCACCACAACATGAGGAACTGTATTAAAGAGTGGCAGCACTAGGGAGGTTGAGAACCACTGCCTTAAATGGCACCGGAAGTTGGTTACATTCATGGAAGCAGCAAGTACCAACCTATAACTACCTGGCACCAAATTGTC